CCAGCTGTAATCTTTTAAGATAAAATTGCTCAAAAAAGCATTCAGCTACAAAGATCAGCGCATTTACTCCTGGTTAAGAATAGGTAAATACTTGAATGTCCATATACTGGTCACAGGTTTACTTTATAGTGTTTCCCACTGGAGTACAGAGAGTCTACACTGTGCTGCTTGACTTTAACACTGCAGAAAATTATTTTATGGTTTTCTTAGTAGTACCCTAAATATTTCTGCAACTAAGCTCTTCAATCTCCTACCTTTTTTTTTTAGCTTATTCCCTAGTATCAAAATGCAACTAACAATGCACCTCTTATGTTAAAATAAAAACATACTAGGGGTTCTGACATAGTTGCAGGGCCTTCATTATGGGCTATATGTTATTTTACAGCAATGGGTATAATAATTATATTTATCTTTGTCACCCGCTGTCATTAGAAAACATATATACTATATAAAAAACTTCACAATAAGAAGATACAGATCTACTTTACAAATTATACAAGGGTCACGTTACCAATTTACAATATACCTTGCTGAGATATGTACCCTTATTTCCAATGCTCACCTCATGCCAGCCCAATTAAACCAATTATTGATTATCCGTTTTTATTGTTTTATGGTAATACAAATAGCAAAGCGATACGTTTCTAGACCGCGGGAAATTATTCTGTCTTTTAACTAAATTTGCCACAGTTTCCCGTACTAAAAAAAAGAAAACACATCTTTACAGCATTATAATATTTCCAGTAACTGTGCCCTTGTGAGCAGAGAAGAGAGGGAGCACAAAGACCAAATATTTGCTAAATCAGAATGTGTGAGATATGACTTTTTGCGTTTATCAAGGGACTTTTCAGGGACAGTTTATTCCGACCATTAAGAATTTATGCAAAACAATATTTCAGATTAACAACCAAAAACAAAAATCACACGTAAGCAATACAAATCCACACGTAATCCAATACAAACTTGCTCTAGAAACAATTCAGACAGAAACAGCAAATTATTAGTGTACAACGTTGCTCGATCAGCCAACACAAGAGAGTTTCAGAACAACCAACCACAATACTTATAGCACTGTCTAGCTCAAAGAACATCAGTTCAATACTCAATTCAGTTCTCAATCCCAAACAACCAAATATCATAATGCAATAATTAATAGAGTGATGTCCAGGGTCCACATTAAGTGGCATGTTTAAATATTTTTATCCACATCATGTGGCATTAATGCTACAATAGCAACCTACTAGAAAATGGAAAGCCCAACAACATACTCCTTTCCACCAAACCCCTACGGTTTAGCTGCTTTCAAAGCGTTAAAGGGCAACTTCACCTTTGCATAAAAATGAAAAAGAGAGCACACAACACCCTCCCCCACCTCCCACTGCACTTAGCTTCTTTTATGACCATCTACCACTACCCACATCAGCTTGATGAAACGGGCCTTCAAAACATCACTACATATCATAATGCTGGCAATGGTGACCGGTCAATGGTCAGCATGTGACCCCCGCTGACCAATAAGAATCTCTTCTTTCTTACTGGATAAAAAAAGATTCCCATTGATCAGCATAATCACTTGACAGTGCTGACCAACCTCTCACCTTTGCCACCATTTTGATGCTACATAGCCTTGGGGTCTGTGTAGTGAAGTTCTGAAGTGTGTTGGCAATGGTAGATGGTCATAAAAGCAGTGTGAATGCGCGTGTGTGGGGGTGCTGTGTGTTCCCCTTTTCATTTTTATAAACATATTTGGGTAGCTGTATGGATTTTTTGTGGCTGGACCCTGGCCAAGCCTATCCAACTTGTTGCTTTTTACAGTGCAGTACAACCAAGCCACAGATCCCCAATGTATTTTCCAGCCGACTCAAACTGCACTAAAGAAAGTAACGTGGCTCCAGGTAGTAGTCGTCTTGTAGCTACTTGCAAACCCTGAAAAAGACAGCTGATGAGCACAAGTATCAAGACACAAGTCTGGCTGGGTGTTGCAGAAACACCTATGGTGCCCACAACATTCCAAAGGTGGTGCTGTGTCGTCATAGGGTTTCCCCTATAGGTGATAATTGCTATGTTCCGGTTCCAAATTAATATTCCAAGTTAATAAACTATAATCAGTTACAAGTTACACCAGTGTACTGTTTCAATTACTTTCATTTTTAGCATTTCACAAATGTATTGTTCACTTCTCCTGCCTTCTCCAAACTCTACACCCTTTTCTGAATAACCCTGAAAAATTCCCAGAGCAACAGCTACAAATGGTTTCATTGCATTAACCCTTTCACTGCCAAGCCCTCCGAAACACTTAAAACCTCAGCTGGCCACACTGTTTTTGCAATTCTTTACCTTTTTTATTTTCAATTGCATCTTTTAGAGTTTGTAAAACACCCCCCACAAACCATATATTTTCTGAAAGCACAGGTCCGGTAGAATAAAAAGATGGTGCTACTAATTTTGTAGGCCCTGCAATCATTTCACAAATGTTTATAAAACCAATATTAAACCGAAAAAACACACAATTGATAAAAGCGCACTAAAATCAGTATCAGTGCACAAAAAAAAAAAAAAAATTTCCGACAATCTAAAAGATAAAACTGTATTGAGTTAATAAAGAACAAATATTTGTAAATTTTAAATTGCGCCTTTTTGTGGAACAGTAAAAAAAAAATTAAGGAATCCAAAACTGTAAATAAACAATGTTAAAAATTGTTTGTGCGCTTTGTTGGTGTTGTGATAAAATGATACAGGCGTACATCTGAGCGCAACACAGCAAATCACGGCAACGCTTCACCATGCGCTGCCACACAGGTAAATTAATGTTATTTTAATAATAAAAAAAAATAGTCAGCCGCAGATGACCGCTATTGTTTTACATGGGACCCTTCTGAAATAAGTTCATGGTTGCTAAAGGGGCCATGAGCTTATAGCAGAAGGGTGAAAGCCACCGACGTAAGGCATACTGATGTGGCTAGCTGCAGGCGGTTGTGTTCCGCCGCATCCTTATGTCGGAAGCAGCGAAAGGGTTAAACAAAAAATCACTGATGACTTATGTGAAGAATTTAATTGCTATCCTCTAAAACATTACTTACTAATTTTAACAGCAGATTGCATTTGAGTTAACACTAACGATAAAGCACACACAACATACTTAGGTGCAGTAAGCAGACTGGTGATCTCTTTTGTACCCACTGTAGATTGGCCAATCACTGGTGAGGATGAAGACTTTGAGGCTGCATAAAAACAAAAACAAAAAACACAATCACATCTAATTATCAGCTCACACCCTGGTGTTATGAAGTGTCTTCGCCTGTCATCCTTCAATATAAAAGCATTAGTTTAACTTACATTGGTAAATATCTTAAAGAAAGAAAGAAGCAAGCTTTAAGCGTATATATTTCCATCGACTGTACTAGGCTAGAGTGCATTGTGCAAAGGCAGAAACACACCTACCAATGATGTCTATTTTCACCATAGCTTTGCATTACACTGCATTGCTTAATGTAGTTACTGTGGACAAATCTAAGTTGACATATAATGGAGTCTGTCACTAGCATTAACAGAACAGTTTTTGTCGCCTATAAGTTTTATCAGGTGTTGATTCTGCCAGTGGTTATTTTTCCGCCTTCAGTAAGGCTGATCGACACGCTGTAAACCGCTCAGTGAAATCCCATATTTCCCTATGGGCATGGTTCCCACCTGGGCATATTTCAGCCCGTGGAAACGCGCTGAAAAACGCCCTACGCCCAAACAAGTACAGGAGCATTTTTGGGGCGTTTTTCAGTGCGTTTCAATTGGTATTCCCGAGTGTGGCTCGGGGTTAACAAAGCGGTAACCCTGAGCCACACTCGGGAATACAGCGTAGGACTTACCTTGTCCGCAATCCCCACGGAAAAACGTGCTAAAAAACGAGCAGAAAAAATACGCCCAGGTGTGAACCCAGCCTAAGGCCTTGTTCACACCAAGCGCGGAGCAGGAGCAGATACAGACCGGAGCAAAACTGCGTCCAATGTATTCCAATGGTATTTTTAGCTCCAGTTCACATCGCAGCGATCAGTTCCAGAACAGGTCCAGAGCATGTAAAAAAACTGCAGCAGGCCCTATTTAACGTGCTCTGGAACGCATCAAAAACGCATGCAAATGCCTGGAACGCACTGAAAGCCCATTTTAAACTAAAATAATTTTTTTTTTTTTACCATTACAGCCCGGAACGCATCAAAAAGCGCGGCACAACCCACTGCGTGCGCAGAAACTCATGCAGATCTGCTCCGTGCTTGGTGTGAACAAGGCCTCAGACTGTTCATTCTGCAGTGAAATCTCGCAACAGTATTGTCATCCCCTGCACAGGGTAGTCTTAGATGGAAGTGTTGTTTTAAAGGGTATCTAAACCCAAAAACAAAAATGGCATATATTGCTTAGAGGAGGCCCTTGCATTATTTTTTTTCTCTTTATATTTACTTGGTAATCGTGTAAATAACAAACTTCCAGTCCATGGGTGGCTATACTCACTCCTCCACTGTACTTATGGAGAGCAGTAGATGTCAGTAGTCTACTCTTCTGTTATGGACTACAAACATGTCTTCCTCTCTTCACCTCCATTAAATGGGAACGGGTATTTAGTAGTTTACAGAAGATAACATGGAATAAAGAGAAGATTCTTTGTGCTTTCCTTTTAGCTCAAAAGAAAGGACACTTCATTCTTGGCAAGGTCAATAGTTTTTTTTTATACTTACTGAAAATGTGCACAGCATAAAACAAAGAAAAGTAAGCAAGCCACCACATCCAAAGACTGATACGTATTACATTTTTTTGGGTTTAGCTATCTTTTAACTGGACTTGAAAGTGACACTATTCAGGAGCTGAATCTTAAAGTAGTATTAAAGTCTTTCTTTTTGTGGCATATATCTACTGCTAGCAAGCAGTAGATAAATGCCTCATGATTTAAAAAAAATTAAATAAGTAGGCAAATACCTAATTACTTACCTGTTCCAGTGCCGCTAGCTCCCGAACGGCTGTGAAGAAGTGTGTGGGCGCATGCGCAGTATGCGCAGGGGAGGGGAAAAAGCAGACACTGAAGCTCAATGGACGCAGCCGGGAGCGCGCATGCCGGATAGACCCCGAGGGAGTCTGTGGCGGATCAGAGACCGGCACCAGCTCTGGAGGGACTGTCAGAAACGAGTAGAAGTAAGATGATCGCAGCAAGAGGCGTCAAATAAGGTAAGTGCATACAGCAACATGGGGGGAATTCCCTTTAAAGGAGAACTACGGGGTTAAGTCTTTTCCCCATAATTCTCCTTAGGGTAACGGGAGGACACAAACTAGCGTCCTCCCGTCACCCTAGGCTCAGTACACCGCGAGCTGTAGCTCGCGGTATACAGAGACGCCGCAGTATACCGCGAGCAGCTGCTCGTGGTATACTGAGACGCCGCAGCTGAAGCGGATCCCAATTGTGCCGGGATCCGCACAGCTGCGTGACTGACAGCTGGCTCTGCCTATCTAAAGGCAGAGCCAGCTGTACCCGCCCCTCCCCCGTCCGTTCCGCCAGTCAGCGCTGGCGGACCGGAGAGGGGGGAATCCAGCCCCTCCCCTGTCACGGCAGAGAGCTGTGACAGGATCGAGAGGTGAGCGAACGCCGGTATGTGTTCGCTCACCTCCCGATCTACTGAGCCGACCTGTGACAGTCTCATTGTCACAGGTCGGCTAGAACTATGAGGTGAGTGAAAAGCACTCACCTCATAGTTCTCCTTTAATGTCACTTTAAACGAGTTATAGTTATTTATAGTTTTGTAGTTAAAGTACTTGAATGTATTTTTAAGATTTAACTCCTAGTTTAGTGTCACTTTGAGTAAAAAAATTAAAGCCTAACTCCAAATAACACTTCAGTTTTATTTCTTCTGGGAAAAAAGTTTTAAAAGGAGAATTATGAGGACAGTGAAATGCTCTCATCCCCATAATTTGAGCCGCTGTTTGACACTGCAGTTGTCACACGTCAGCTCTATTGACCAAGCTCTATTGATCACACAACACTGATCGCTCAGTTCACGATCATCTCCCTGCAGAGAGCTGTGACTGTCAATCACCGCTCCCCACAGGGATACCCTCCTCCCCTCTTCAGCGCTGACAGGAGGGACTGACCGGGGTGGGGGCAGGCACAGCTTCTAGAGAGGCGACAATATTAGCGGGATCCTTCCCGACCGCATCGCTGCTCTGCACCGTCAGCGTATAGTGGGCAATAAACCGCTATATGCTGAGTTTTGGGTCACAGGAGGACATTAGTAAATGTCCTCCTGTGCCCTTATAGAGAACTATGGCCAAAGAAGGTTCGGCCATAGTTCTCTTTTAAACCGTATGAAAAAAACTGATCATTGCCATACGGATTTCCTGGCAGGATCAAAAGATAATAAAACTATGTTACAAATGGGGCTTTAGAAACAAAAGCTGCTTTGTTAATGCGAATAACAGACTCCATCATACATGTCATTTTTTATTTTGTCCACCTTTCCCACAGTAATGCAGCTTAGCGCTTTAAGATCAACTGAAGCTAATAGAAGAAGTGAAAAAGTACAACATTCCAATATACACCCAAACACCATGGAAAGCTTTTTAACCACTTGCCGTCCGCCCGTTGTAAAAAAAACGGACGGACAGCACTACTGCATTGGCGGGTTGCCGTCGTCCCGACGTGACCCCGTCTTTTATATTTTACCAAAAAATTGGGTAATAATAAATGTTTTATCATTTAATATAGGGGAAACTGTTTTTTTTTTTTAAAAATTCGGTAATTTTTCCTTAATATAGTAAAAAATAAAAACCCCCAGTGGTGAATAAATACCACCAAAAGAAAGCTCTATCTGTCCCCCAAAAAAAGGGTATAAAATTAATTTCAGTACAGCATTGCATGACTGAATAAATGTCAGTCAAAGTACCGCAGCGCTGAATACTGAAAAATGGCCTGGATGGGAAGGGGGTTTAACACCGCGGATGTCAACTGGTTAATGCATGTTTCAGGAAAGATATCTATTTTTGACATGTCAGTGGTGGTTTTTAAATAAGTTCATACCACTAAAGCATGGATTAATGTTCTTGTTGTGTCCATATAGGTACAGATCCCCCCTCCCTCCCCCCAAACAAGGGTAAAGTTTAAACCACTGGCACTGCCTCTTTCTGTACTTCTGCTTTTCAAAAATCGTTGAAACAATCATTAACATATATCGCCGAGCTTCCGGGCACTGAGGAGAGGGGGGATTGCGACTGAAACAGTGAAGTACTTGTGTTCTTTGAAAGACATTTTGTGAATGGGCAATAGTGATGTGACCAGAGCACTTCACTGCTTCAGTCACATCGCTCCCTCCCCGCGGTGCCTGGAAGTTCGGCTACGTGTGCAGGAGACGGTGTGCTGCAAGGTAAGATTTTTATACTTTGCAGCCACTCTTCACACATAACACAAAGTTCAAATTATTCCCATTTGGCTTTAACACTATATGCAACCATATGCAATTAGTAAGAATGAAGCCTAAAAGGTGGATATTAGCACGCATGGTTAGGCGTTTGTAGTATCATTGCACTATATACAAGGTAAAACTATTTGTTTTTAGAAACACATAATCCCTGTATTCTACAAACTGTATGTTTAAGCAAGACCAACTGCACCCCCACTGCAAAACACACAGTTTGGGAAGTCGAGTTCTAATGATGTCACACAAAGATTTAAGAGATAAGGTAAAAGCACATTTGGAAAACGCAATTTATAATTACTAGTAGGGGCCATTCACTGCCATGCGCAAATAAAAGCAATCTATCATTAGCTATAAACATCTTTATTGTGAAGCAAGAGAGAGACGGAAGTTGTGTCCCTCCTTCTAGACGGCAGGAGAATACTCAAAATCATCCTTAAAAAAAAAAAAGTGTACCCAAATTCTGACTGCACCGTACTACAGGTTAAAATGAACTCATGAACTATGCACAATAAAGTATTTACATATTCTCAAAAAGCAATAAATCCTCTTTTCTCTTTCTCCTCCATTGAGGGACACAAAGTCTTTCACCTTTGGGACGTGCAAAAGTAGTCCAAAAAGCATTTACAGAAGCAATAAATATCTAGTGTGCCTTGATAGGAAAGGGTGGAACCCAAGCCTTGAGATAATCTTGGATGATGGTCTGCCTGAGCCACCTAGAACCAGTGGAACAAGAAGCCAGTGAACACTTAGAGTCAATCTGAGAATATAAAATGGGAATCAGTCTTTTCGAAAGCAGCAACCACATCCAAACCGTCAGGACAGTGCATCTAACATTACCGCAGGATGACAATGCCGCTTTCCAAGGGTGACTCCATTGCACCTTCACAGAGTGGAGCCACCCTAAAGTAGTACTAAAGGCTATTCGTTTTTTTACCTTGATGCATTCTTTGCATCAAAGTAAAAAACGTCCCGGTAACTTTCCATGCCCCTCATCCCCAAACACTTAACTATACGCCACGTTCATTGCCTCCGGCTCCCAGACGATCTTCGGTGTTTCCCCGGTCTGGGTTGAGAGGAGGGATTCTGAGGGCATCGAGGGCAGAGCAGCGATAGGCTGCCGCACCTGCCTGTCAAGATACTGTGAGGAGGGTGCAGGTGGGAACAGGGGCATGGCTTGTCAAGTGCTGTGTTTGTCAATGGACAAACACAGCACGGCTCAATTTTTAACGGGAGCGCGCACGCACGGGTGTCACCTTTGCAACCTGTTAGGCAAAGGAGACACCCGTAAACAGGAGGGAAGGGGCCGCAGTAAATCCAGTGAAAAAATAAGTGACACTGACAACATTAAAAAAAATATAATTTAAGACTGGAAGAGTATTACAGGCCAGATAACCAGATGAAAATAAAGGAAACTGCCTAAAAAAAGAAAACTACTGTCGAAACCACATTTAAGGATTGGGAATCTGCAATATATTACAGGTTTGTTTTAGGGTTTCAGTTCACTTAAAGTCCAGGGCTGTCTACATCTGTTTGTTCAGGGTCACATGCTGAGCCAGAATGGTGTGGCAAATTCTAAAACTCTGCTGGTAAATTATACATTAGTCATCATTTGTAAACTGTAGTGATCTTAAAACATAGGCAGCTTTATGGCCCTCGTGAAGATTGAGCTGGACAAGCCTGCTTATAACTGTCTTAAGCTACTCCGATCAAATTACGGGGGATGGGGAAGGCTGTGCTTCCTGCAATTTATCTTACTGATACAACACATTTCTGCAAAAGTCACTCAGGTTGTGATGATTACTATGGCGTGTGCTTGGTGGTGAAACTATGTTAGCATACAAAACCTTGGGCTTGTGATAAAAGCAAAATGAGAAACTCCTGGAACAATGCCTATATTCTCTAAGAGGTCAGTGTCAGGAAAGCAGTTCAGTCGGTTAGATAAGAAGCCTCATTTCCTGTACCTCTAACTAGGAAACAGGTGTCTGAGGCCGCACAAGAGTTAAGAAAGAAGCACGTTCACAGCAGACAGTATAATAATCACAATCACATACCTTCCTGCGAGTTAGAGGTGCCCCCTCCTGCTCCATCACCATGAGAGACTATGGTCACTTTAATTTTTGGACGCTTGGAAGGCTTCAATCCAGAGCTGTTTGCAGGGCTGGGAGGCCTCTTCAGCTGCCCTCTGTTGTCATCCCTGTCTTCTGTTTCTGAAGATACTGGGACTGGATGCAAAGTACCAAAGTTTAATGAAGTATGTGATGCAAACCATGACATTTTATTGTTTGCACTGGGCATGTTCAGGACCCCAAATGGGGTCTCACAACTATAATGGAACACATTTTACTACGATTCCAAAAAAGCAACCAATTTTTGAGACTTCAGATACATCTTACTGTTAAAGAAGAATTATTGGGGGGGGAATGACAAATACTCGTCCCCATAATTTAAGCCGACCTGTGTGCCGTCGGCTCTATTGATCAGGGAAGTCAGTGAACACATACCAGCGATCGCTGACTTCCTGTTCGTCTCCCTGCAGTGAGCAGTGACTGTCAGTCACCGCTCCCCGCAGGGATTCCCCCCTCCCCTCTCCGATCCTCCAGTACTGACTGGAGAGGGGGCGGGCACAGCTGGCTCTGCCTCCAGAGAGGCAGAGCCAGCTGTCAATCAGCCAGTGGGGTGGATCTCAACGGTATTGTCAGGATACGTCCTGGCTGTGGCACGGTTCTGCACTCTCAGCATATAGCGGGCAATAGCTCGCTATATGCTGAGTTTTGGGTCACCGGAGGACATTAGTATATGTCCTCTCGTGACCCTGAAAAGAACTATAAGCAAAAAAGGGTTGCCCCATAGTTCTCCTTTAAGATTAGTAATATGGCAAACCAGCTGCTTTAAGACTACAGATGATGTCTTACTTTCCAGGGCTTAAAGCCCACCTAAGAGTAATTTCGCCAAAATAGGGGGGTAAAAATAAATCTGTTTCGAGCCAAGCCTACCATTGATTATATTTAGGACTGAATATTCAAATTCTTATACTTTTGTTTCCTGTTTACTTACAAGTGCTCGTTTTTAATAGAAATAAGAGCATCCAGCCTTCTTTGTTTTGCTCGTGGCGGAAAGTGGCAAAACTTAAGAAAGGGCCAGTATTCTTATTATACTGCAATGCAGCATTAAGTATGCTGGCTTCAATGCTCTTCCAGCAGGTTTGCAAACTTTCTGTGTAGATTGAGGGACTACCGTTAGCTTGAGCTAAGGGTAGAAAGGCTATTTTATCTTACAAACCACACAAAGCATTGCTTCAACTAGCAGGGGTGTGGAATTCCTATCGCCCGACGCCCGGGACATGCAGTTTCGGGCGCCGGGCGAGTAGTTTTTAAGTACATTTAGCCCGGCTCCAGACAAGCAGAGCTGAATGTACATTGTGGAGCCGCCGCTGCTCGTTTGCTACAAGTGGTCTGATCAGTCCACTTGTAGTAATTTGAGCAGCGGCGATCGTTTCTGCCCGCACCCCCCGCCGTAGTTTTCGGGGACCCCGAAAACTAAGGCACAACGGCTCAGCCATAGAGCCCGTAGAGCAGACGAAAAACGTCTGCTCTACGGGCTCTCTGTGTGTTCTCTGAGACCGTGGCGCTGTAATCACAGCGCCACCTGTCTCGGCTGTCAGGAACTACACAGAACTTCTGTTCTGTGTTGGAGGGCAGGTTCCATAAAGAGAACCTGTCACCTCCAAACTATCACATAAGGGATTTTAATCTCCTATGTAATAGGAAGAACATTGAGGGGAAAAAGTAAATAAATAAAAAGTTAGAGAAAAGTTAAATGAAATATATAAAGATTTAAAAAATAAAAAAGTAAAAAATAAAAATGACAAAGTAAAAAAGTAAAAAATAAAAATGACAAAGTAAAAAAATAAAATAAAAATGAAACCCTGCTGCCCCCGCCATCTGCATGCAAATAAACGCATGCGTAGGACATTCTGCATGTGCTTCGAGATTGCAGCTGCCATTCCATGGTGGTAGCCAGAATTCTCTTACACACACATAATGTGCATTAAAGGGTAAGTTCATTTTCCCAGGTAATATGGAAAAATAAAAATTACCCGATGAAATCTGGCCCTGTCTCTCCCAAACCGCCACCCCCCTGGCTATACTTACCTTTCGGCGAACAATTTACTCTGACTCGATACCGAAAAACCGATATGGGTGCATCCTTAGTTTTGATTAAAACTATTTTTTGTATTGGGACAAGTAGATTGTCATGAAGGACAAGTAGATTTGGCCCCCGCTTTAGCCCTTGGACAAGTAGTTTTTTTACAAATTTCCACACCCCTGACTAGTTTCATTTCTTCCTACAATTCCAAAACTTTGCAAAGCTTTTTTCTTTTCAAATATGAGTGAATATAAAAAAACCCAACCTAAATAAACAGTTACTCAGACTTTATGTTTCGAAATAATGCACAATGCTTGTGAGTCATAGCCAAATATAAGCTCCCTTGCATCCAAATAAAATGTGCTAGAAGAGCTATATGCAATATATTGACAGACTTGTTGTTTCAATATTTTTATCTAAGAATTTCCATAAAAAATTAACAGATT